ATTCATAATAATATTGAAAACAATAAAAAAAAATTTCTGGATTAGTATTCGCGTAATGTAAAAAAAGAGAATATAAAAAGAATTTTTATAAAGATAATAATAATTACACAATATTATCAATTGCACTAGTATGACCCTCAGAGTATTTCTCATACTGTCGTGCAATTAAAAACACTTATAGGCGAAAGTCTGGATTTTCTTCTATTGCGGCTGTAGGCTCATTGGTGCAGTAGGCTTAATCTTTTTAGCGCCAACTTCGTCGGTCACGCGGGGCCTTTTATTTTCCGGCGACACGAACTGGCATCGCCGTGAGAATGCTAAATTTTGCGAGACTTAACCCAGAAATGGGGAAAATCTCACGCTGGAACCTGAAAATTAATTGAGAATTCGTTTAAACTAGTCTAAATTTTTCAGAAAAATGTATGTAGGAAGGAAAAATGTGAAGTATAGTTTATAAAATTAAAAAATTTATGATTGGTTTAAACTGTCATGAAAAATTTATGAAAAAATTTACTCGGAATCTGAGCAGCGTTAACACAAACGAAAAATACACAAAAAAACGAATCCAAGAAATAACACGATACCAACGGCACACGCAAAAGCTAACCCCAAAATGCCAAAAAAAAACGGAATAGCGTCCCCAATAGTGCTGCAAAAAAATTCTCCAGAATAAACCTAGGATTATACCGAAAACTGACTCTCAAACTAGCCCAAAACTAACCCTCAAATTGTTCGTAAAACCTAAAACCAACCCAAAAACTGACCCCCAAAATGACTCTCAAACCAAACCTAAAACTGACCCTAAAACAAACTCAAAACTGACTTTCAACTGAGAGTGAAACTCATCCTTATAAATAACTCTAAAATTGAACCTAAAACTAACTCTGAAACTGACCCTGAAACTGACTCTAAAACTGGCCCTAAAACTGACTTTAAAACTGACCCTGAAACTGACTCTTAAACTGACCCTGAAACTGACTCTAAAACTGGCCCTAAAACTAACTCTAAAACTAACCCTGAAACTGACTCTTAAACTGACCCTGAAACTGACTCTAAAACTATCTCAAAAACTCACGCAAAAAAATGATCTGACACCACAGCACTTGGTGACTGGCTGAGCCGTAGCTTTTGCGACATAGCGAAAATATTTACAGTTTTGTGACCGGCACAAAAATACTCACTTTTTGCCGAGCGTGAGTGTTTCGAGCAAAAAGTCTTTCGAGCGAAAAAAATGTCACATTTGCGAGCGGCACAAAATTATTCGCATGTATTCGAGTGTTCTGCGCGCAACAATTTTATCATTATTTGGACAATTTGTCCTACAAAATTTTCTGCGTGTATATGTCTTTCATGTTACACACGGAAAAATAGATGGCTCATGTTGTCCAAATAGTGACACACTCGCTACGCGTAGCCTTTGACTAACCTTTGACTAAGAATGACTTGCCTGATAATGCAGGTTAGTCATTTTTCCGGCCGAACTAAGTCACAGTGGCCCACACATGGGCAAAAAGTGCATCGTTATTTGGACAACGTCTCTCAATTTTTCTGAGTGTACGCTTGGCACAGCGCTGACATCGCGATCATAAACCGAACCCATCGTTTGTGCAGAGCTAAAACAAATGTCACGCGTCTAAATAAACTGACAAACTGACATTCTTGGACGATTTATCGGTGGCCATCGAATTTCCAGCGATAATTATAGACCATGCACTAGAAGAATCAAGTGGGTCATTCTGTGCAAATATTCACACACTTTCTTATCCACAGCACAAGCAGAGAGCGGACGTAGCACTGATACGCACTTTGGCCGAACTGGGTCAGAATGACTCAGTCAAGCTTGAAAACTGCATCGTTATCACAAAACCGCGTTAATTTCTCTGAGTGGTCGCCGTTGGTATGACGATGATATTTGTTGAGTGAACGTGGCGCATGTCCGGTTGTTACACTGAGAGAAATTGGCGTGCCATTTTGTCCAAAGCTCAATTTAGACAAGGTCATTCACATTTCTTTGAGTGCAGATAGACGACAAAGACTGAATTAAGGACTAATTCCTTAATATCTTATGATGAAATTCGTAAGGGCGATACAAATGATGTAATAATAATAATAATTATAATAATAATAATAATAGTAAGAATCATAATAATTTAATCAATAATGATATAATGATAATAACAATTGTAATATTAATAATGAACATTTATATTAATAATTCCATAACGATTAGGCTAATGTACACGGTACTAGCACTCAGACAAGCCAGTGGGTCAGATTGTCCAAATAGTAACACTTTCTTCTCCCAGCAATCATGGGCTCCTTTTTTCGCGCCAAAATGAGTCAGAATGATCCATACAAGGGCAAAAAATGCATCGCCATAGGGACAAAGTCTCACTCATTTCTTCGAGTGCGTGCAACTCATCCATGAATGAATCACATTCATAATTTTTGCCCCATTCACTTTCGTGTTTGCCAAAAAGTCAATCAGAAATTGGAAGAGTTTTCAGTAAAATAAAATGATTGCTCTAATCATAACGCCAGTAGGATTACTTCTAACATTTCTTTTTTAAAAATATTCTCTAATTACGAAAAACCGTTTCCTATATTGGAGAAAACAATGTTCATCTACTAGAGAACACACTGTTCTCTATTAGAGAACACACTGTTCTCTATTATAGAACACACTGTTCTCTATTAGAGAACACACTGTTCTCTATTAGAGAACACACTGTTCTCTATTATAGAACACACTGTTCTCTATTAGAGAATACACTGTTCTCTATTAGAAAACACACTGTTCTCTATTAGAGAACAGTGTGTTCTCTCCGCAGCCCCGTCAAGGTCGCCTTTTTTCCGTCCGTCTTTTGCCAAAAATGACCAACCGCGCGACCCTCAACCTGTCAGAGATGGCCGCGAGATGCGTGCTCAACCTACGCCGCTTTAATATGTTTTATGTACGTCACATGACTGTATTATGTACGTCACATGACTGTATTATGTACGTCACATGACTGTATTATGTACGTTGCATGACTGTATTTATGTACGTCGCTTGACCGTATGTTATGTACATCGCATGACTGTATGTTATGTACGTCGCATGACTGTATTTTATGTACGTTGCATGACTGTATTTATGTACGTCGCTTGACCGTTTGTTATGTACGTCGCTTGACCGTATGTTATGTACGTTGCATGACTGTATTTATGTACTGTATGTTATGTACGTTGCATGACTGTATTTTATGTACGTCGCTTGACCGTATGTTATGTACGTCGTATGACTGTATGTTAACACGTTGCATGACTGTATGTTATGTACGTTGCATGACTGTATTTTATGTACGTCGCATGACTGTATTTTATGTACGTCGCTTTACTATATTTTATCTAGGTCGCATGACAATGTTTTATGTACGTAGCATGACTATAATTTGTACGTCGCATGACTATTTTATGTACGTCGCATGACTATTTTATGTACGTCGTATGACTATATTTTATGTATGTACGTCGTATGACTATTTTGTGTACGTCCTTATCCGTCAAACTGACGTGCGCTCCACCGCTGCTTCCTGTACCTATTATAGTTTTATTTTATCTCATAATTGCATTTTGTGTATGTTTCACTGACGAACATTTAATATACGTCGCGTGACTGTTCTTTATGTACGCTACTCAATTAGTTAAGCTATTTTAAGTCAGGTAATGGTTTAAATGTTTTCTGATTAATTATTTCCAATAATAACATATACTATGATTCGACTTATTTCCTCAAAAATTCCGGAAATTTTTTCAATATTGGAGTAAATTATTTTTAGTTTTAGGTTTAATTTTGGTCACTGATAGAACGTATAAATTATTACAGCAAAATTTTTCTTATCCTTCCTTTATGAAATTTTCATAAAAGATTAAGCAGAGCGAAAATTGTAATATAGGATAAAGATAGACAAAAATAGTCATGAAGGATAAAGTTAGAAAAAAATTTCATAAAGGATAAAACTAAACAAAAATTTCATGAAGGATAAAGCTAGACGAAATTTCATGAAGGATAAAGCTGGAAAAAAATTTTCTTGAAGGATATAGCTAGACAAAACTTTCATAAAGGATAAAGCTAGCCAAAAATTTCGTGAAGGATGAAGCTAGACGAAAATTTTCATAGAGGATAAAGATAGAGAAAAATTTCATGTAGGATAAAGATAGCCAAAAATTAAGATTCCAGCGTATCAACTAACGGTGTCTAGAGGCTTCGTCCGGAAAATGATGCCCTTCTTTTGCTATTGTGTGGGTCATCCTGACTCAGTTTGACCCGGCAGAAACATGCATCAGGGTTACGTGGCGAAAGTGTGTCATAATTGTGAGAATATGACCCATTCATATTTCTGAGTGATGTATATGCACTATACAAATTTATTTGGTAGAATAGTTAATGATTGAATGATGAAAATATTGGCTCTGTGTTAATGATTGGCGAATGATGATGATAGGACGTAACTTTATTCATAAATCATTCAGCAGCCATACTTGTGTATGCAGGTCGCGATAACGGACGGCAGGTCTGTTGATTTAAGTCGCCAGGCTCCATTCATATCTCATTCCTTTCTTGTTTAGTTGTCATTCATTGCATTTATTTTATTCTAATTAATTTCTCATTCACTGAACTCATTAATTTCCTATTACCTCACTCATAAATATCTCATTCCTTGCATTCATTCATTTACAATTCACGTCACTCAAAATTTTTTTATTGGTCATTCATTTTCATTCATTTACATCCACTGTCGAGTGTTGCAGCATATACACGTATTGAAATACAGTTTCATCGATTTCATTAACTTTCCAATTAATTCCAAAATTCAATATCTACCGAGTCATTCATACATTTACTTGAGCTAAATATTAGTTTCCTGTTACATGGGGTTTACATTCAGACATTAATTATCATTAATATAGCTAGAAAATAGTTACTGGGACACGGCATAACTTGAACTTCAAATCTTATGAACCTGCGTCGGGCTAACCTGCGTCGGGCTAACCTGCGTCTGGCTAACCTGCCTCGGGCTAACCTGCGTCGGGGTAACCTGCGTCGGGGTAACCTGCGTCGGGATAACCTGCGTCGGGCTAACCTGCGTCGGGCTAACCTGCGTCGGGCTCACCTGCGTCGGGCTAACCTGCGTCGGGCTAACCTGCGTCGGGCAAACCTGCGTCAAGCTAACCTGCGTCGTGCTAACCTGTGTCGGGGTAACCTGCGTCGGGGTAACCTGCGTCGTGCGAACCTGTGTCGGGGTAACCTGCGTCGGGCTAACCTGCGTCGTGCTAACCTGCGTCGGGGTAACCTGCGTCGTGCTAACCTGCGTCGGGGTAACCTGCGTCGGGCTAACCTGCGTCGGGCTAACCTGCGTCAAGCTAACCTGCGTCGGGCTAACCTGCGTCGGGGTAACCTGCGTCGGGCTAACCTGCGTCGGGCTAACCTGCGTCGTGCTAACCTGCGTCGGGGTAACCTGCGTCGTGCTAACCTGCGTCGGGCTAACCTGCGTCAAGCTAACCTGCGTCGGGCTAACCTGCGTCGGGGTAACCTGCGTCGGGCTAACCTGCGTCGGGCTAACCTGCGTCGGGCTAACCTGCGTCGGGGTAACCTGCGTCGTGCTAACCTGCGTCGTGCTAACCTGCGTCGGGGTAACCTGCGTCGGGTTAACCTGCGTCGGGCTAACCTGCGTTGGGCTAACCTGCGTCGGGGTAACCTGCGTCGGGCTAACCTGCCTCGGGCTAACCTGCGTCGCGGTAACCTGCGTCGAGGTAACCTGCGTCGGGCTAACCTGTGTCGGGGTAACCTGCGTCGGGCTAACCTGCGTCTGGCTAACCTGCGTCGGGCTAACCTGCGTCGCGGTAACCTGCGTCGGGGTAACCTGTGTCGGGGTAACCTGTGTCGGGCTAACCTGCGTCGGGCTAACCTGCGTCGGGGTAACCTGCGTCGGGGTAACCTGTGTCGGGCTAACCTGCGTCGGGCTAACCTGTGTCGGGCTAACCTGTGTCGGGGTAACCTGCGTCGGGCTAACCTACGTCTGGCTAACCTGCGTCTGGCTAACCTGCGTCGGGGTAACCTGCGTCTGGCTAACCTGCGTTGGGCTAACCTGCGTTGGAGTAACCTGCTATGGCTAACCTGCATCCGGTAAACCTGCTATTAGCCTATGGTTTTTTTATTCAGAATCTAGAGTCGTACAATTTTCGTCGTAATTGTAGTTTTGGTCACAATTAAATTGAACTGTAATCGTATCATGTGTAGATTTTAGCGTAATTGTATCATGAATTGCTTGTGCGTTGCAAAATGTATCGTATTTACATTGTACGGTAAATAATATGCATATATTATCGTACTGTAGACTCCATTAAATATTATTCGAGGAGCTTTTCAAGATGGGCCGCCGGTATAACGAAATCGTGTATGTAATAGCTGAAATATTCCTGAAATCCTGCACAACTGCGCCGCTCACGTGAACCGCGTAACATGGCTCTAATAAACTATAGTAGCGAGTGAACCACATAAAATGGAACTACGCACAATGGTTCTCTTAAACAATGATAGGGATAGGTTCTTGTGAGAACCACGCACAATGGTTCTCTTAAACAATGATAGGGATAGGTTCTTGTGAGAACCACGCACAATGGTTCTCTTAAACAATGGTAGCAATAGGTTCTTGTGAGATTCACGCACAATGGTTCTCTTAAATAGTGGTAGCGATAGGTTCATGTACTGCATATGACAACGATCAGGATTTTCCAAAAATTTTGAACTGTTCTGTAATTAATTTTGTATCACGGGAGATACGTCAGCTAAAAATTATCATTGAAAGGTGGTTAAATATGCATTAAATGCCTTTAATGTCGACAGCACGGCACAGTTCGCGGTTTTAAAACACCCCAAAGAATAATTGATAAGACAGACAAGCACACACCCTCGCTTCACGGCAGCCACGCGGGCACTGAGGGAAGCCAGCGAGGGAAAGGCGTTTACACCGGAGTACTCAGGCCGGATTTCTGACAAAGAGGAAAACATTATTCGCCTTAATGAAATATTTAATATTAATTGTTTATTATGATTTATTTTATATTAAATATTTCTCAGTGGTTTGAAATGACGAGCCAGTGGGAAAGAAATTGTTAATTCCACGGCGAGTATTCAATAGCAGAACGAGAGCATTCTAATAAAGATCGAAGTCTCTCACCACTTTTCGCTATACCAGATAAAATGAAACTATATTCTAATATGAACTTTTTCCGCAATATTTAATTTCAAATATTCTATAAGATAAAGGAAATAATATAAATCTTAATTTCTTATCTGCATTTCAATCAACATCGTACAAATGAATCATTGCAACGTCGATTGTGCACTTCGTATCATCGATATTATCATTTCCCTATCATATAATGCTGTAACTAACATTATTTATTCATATAATTAATTGATATCTGTAAGGTGAACCATACAGAGGCACTCCGTATCATAGCTACGGTAATGATTAATTGGTCCCGACGCTACCGAATGTCCCGATGATGACGAAGAGCATCGTCATCATCGTCATCATCGATGACGTTGAAGAGCATCGATGATGACGAAGAGAATGTCCCGATGATGACGAAGAGCATCGCCATCATCGTCATCATCGATGATGTTGAAGAGCATCGATGATGACGAAGAGAATGTCCCGATGATGACGAAGAGTGTGGATGAGGGGAGTGAGGCGTGGATGAGGGGAGTGAGGCGTGGATGAGGGGAGTGAGGCGTGGATGAGGGGAGTGAGGCGTGGATGGCGTGGATGCTTAAGGCAATTAAGGCACCGCGCGAGGGATGATGACTTATTAACATAATATCACTATAAGAAAACTTTAGTTTTTAAAAGTACCTAAACTTTGGAATCTTTTATACAAGAGTTTATTTCAAATTTCAAGTGTTATTCCGTGTCGCTATAATTTCTCTTCAATTAAAATTACATTAAATTGTCTTCATGGGCCCAAGACATTTTCCATCTTTTCATATTTACTGCATTTGAAAGTCAAATTTCGACCGAAATATTCAGGCATTTCAAGAAAGTCTGAAAGAAAATCTTGTTGTCTAATGTTAATCATTATTATTTTCTAAATATTGTTGGATATTAAGTAATTATTTCATAATCTTTCCCCTTCAAAATAAATGCAATGTAACATAATACCATCCATAATAATTTTGAAATAATATCTGACGAATGGGCCATCGTAATTTATTATTATTCGCCATTAATAATTGGAAGGTTAATCATTAATTTCTGGACTCCTCAAATATCTTATAATATACTGAATGATATCAAATAATGATGATTCAATTGATATTCCCTTATTAAACCTTGAATGTTATGCTCGAATGATATTCGAATGTTGCCCACGAATTTGTGATGATCAACAACATTCATTTGTGATCATCACACACATGAAATGAATCACACACATCACACATTTTATCATTTGTGATGAAACGTTCACGTTCATAATCATTCTTCGGGACTCATCAGTTCAATTTTGCTCGTTGTTTGGCTTTTTTTTAATGGTCATTAATTAACTATTTATATTAAATGAAATCAGTAATTAAATTGATAACGGTCATTGCTTTTCAAGCTCATTTACTCTATTTCGTGATATATGCGAAATAAAATATATTTATATGTGTGATATATGAATAAATTATACAAATATATATAAATATAAGCGTAATTCCCACACAAATGTTATGTCACTTGAAAAATAGAAGAAAATTATGGCATTTAACATGCGCAAAACATTTATAACGAGAGTAATTTTACGTATTTTATACAATGATGTTCAAGTTTTAATTTCTCATTATCTCATTTTTTTAATTCTATTTCATTTTTTATTAATTAATGTATTTTTCGTAATTTATTTTTATTTAAATCATTTGTCTTAGTAATTTTATAATATATATTTTGCTTTTTAATTCATGTTTGAAACAAATACCGCCGTAAGAAACACGCTGTGAATGAAGTGTAAAAAAATCTTCAGAGAAGTCTTAGGAAAAAGTGCAAGAGAGAAGGAAATTCTAAGCGGCTTAGAGCGGCAAGACGTGAGCACCTGGCGCTGCTTAGGATTGCTTAGCCTGAGCGTACTGTGCTAGTGTGTTAGTGCTGGTGCTGTGTTGTCTAGTGCTGGTGCTGTGCTGCTGTGGGACGGTGCTGTGCTGTCTAGTGCTGGTGCTGTGCTGTCTAGTGCTGGTGCTGTGGGACGGTGCTGTGCTGTCTAGTGCTGGTGCTGTGCTGCTGTGGGACGGTGCTGTGCTGTCTAGTGCTGGTGCTGTGGGACGGTGCTGTGCTGTCTGGTGATGTGCTATCTAGTGCTGGTGCAGTTAATTTGTACGTAAATGGTTTAACAATTAAAAAGAACACCAGATTCATTGTAGCGAGCCTACAACAGTTAATTATTAACCTTAAATGCAGTTAATCCAACTGTTAGTTGTTCCACAATCAAATTATCCACTTTATACTAGCTATGGTAAAGAAATTAAAAAATTCCAAAAAATTTAGGATATTGGAATATCAGTATCAGTTCAGTCGAACTGATGAAAATTGTATGCCGGTATCATTTCGTGTATCGGTACACCGGCTCCGGTTCACGGGCACAGCACGACGCAGTGCTGTGCTGCAGTGCGGTCGATGCTTTGCTGCGGAACCGTCCTTTTTTCACAAGCTTTACTCCGCTTCGGTCGACTGCATTCCATATCACCATTTAATTACCTGGACTTAATTTACATTATTTTATGGTACCAACATCTTGAATATAGGATATATATTGGACAAGGTTTGCATGCATGAAGTCGATATGTTGATATGTACAATATACATGTATATAGGGGCTGTTGGGGCGCGTGTTAATTTTCTTCATGTCGGGACATTACCGGGACCTGAAATTTTATTCATAGCTTGGGAATAATTAGGTACCGTTAAACCTTGAGGGAAGGATTGGATCAAAATTTGAAATTTAATTTCTAAATTGGTATTTAGTAATTTAATTTAAAAGGCGAAAAAAGTTTTTTCCGTTTGTGAAACAGAATAAGATGAGAGTCTTATCTCCCATTTGAATTGCTGGTATGAGGTGTCATTTTTTCATTGAAATACTATAATTTTATTTAGATTAAGCGGGATTAGGTTTTATGGAAATAACGTGATCGGGATTCCAAAGTTACTGCAATTCACAGCATTTCTCGTGAACGATAATCTCTGCAATTTTATAATGTTTCGTCCTCATGGTCTCCTGTCTTGCACATGGGCGCCATATAAGCACAGGCTTGATCGATTCGATGCTCCATCAGAAGTCAACGCTCCAAGTTTATTAAGTGACACAATCTCCGCTGACCTTTGTGTCTGTTTTGTCGGGTAATTAAGGCAGCTGATATCAGTTTTTTTCGGGTAACTACGTACGCTAATATTAGTTTTTTAGTAATTAGTACCGCTAATATCAGATTTGGTCGGGTAGCTATAGTGCCGCTAATATCAGGTTTGTGGGACCAGGACCTATACTTTCAAAATTTGCTAAGTTAACGTAAGCACCTACGCTCTATTTTCTTGTCTACGATTGGTAGATTTGCTTGAAAGGCCGTCAATGATTGGCTGATGAACACACGATCTCTTAACTTTTTTGAAAGTATAGGCCCACTTTTGTCGGGTAATTAAGGCCGCTAATATCAGGTTTGTGGGACCAGTTTTATCGGGTAATTAAGGCCGCTAATATCAGGTTCGTGGGGACAGTTTTGTCGGGCAATTAAGGCTGCTAATATCAGGTTTCTGGAACCAGTTTTGTCGGGCAATTAAGGCTGCTAATATCAGGTTTGTGGGACCAGTTTTGTCGGGTAATTAAGGCTGCTAATATCAGGTTCGTGGAACCAGTTTTGTCGGGCAATTAAGGCCGCTAATATCAGGTTCGTGGGACCAGTTTTGTCGGGCAATTAAGGCTGCTAATATCAGGTTTGTGGGACCAGTTTTGTCGGGAAATTAAGGCCGCTTATATCAGGTTCGTGGGGCCAGTTTTGTCTGGCATTTAAGGCCGCTAATATCAGGTTCGTTTGACCAGTTTTGTTATTTAATAAGGCCGCTAATATCAGGGTCGTGGGACCAGTTTCATCTGGGTATTGAAACAGCTAGTAAGCGGGAGTTCTGTTCTAACCGTTGAGGCAAGAGGTTCCTTGTGCTAAGCTCCCGTGACAGTAGCCGGCTTCGGCCGGCTGCTACGTCATATTCTCTAGAACTATCTAGTATCTTTTTTGAACTTTGAAAATGCCGTACTGTCCCGCTCCGAGGCGTTGAGCCGGCGGATGCCATGGTGCGACCAGCTAAAGTGAAGTTTAACTCCTGAAGTTCTGCTCCCCTGAAGTTGCCAAATTCGTTATTTTTGTGCTCCCCTGAAGTTGCCAAATTTCTGGTCTTCACTTTGGTGGCCCCGTTCTGCAACCCTTCAGCCATTGAGAAATCTTGAGTTATTTTTTCTATCAATGCACCCAATTTTGTACAAGAAAACATAATTCAGTCAAGTTCCTTCGACTGTTCTGACATGGGGCCGCATTGAACCAGTCTTCAGAGGCTCCCATAAATTCCAATTAAAGAAAGAAGAAAGCTAGTAAGCGGTGTTGTCGGATAATTAGTGCCGCTAATATCAGGCTCGTAAAGTTAGTTTTGTAGTGCAAATAGTGACACTAATTTCAGGTCCGTAGAGCCTATTTTGTCCGGTAATTAAGGTCACAGACATCAGGTCTGTTGGGTGAGTTTTTTTTCAACTCAACCTACAGTGAGGTGAGGAATTTTGGGTAGAATTGGAGGGGACAACTCCAATTAGTCTCATGCAGGGTGGAATTCTAGCTGCAATTGAAGGAAACAATTCCACTAGGTCTCAGGCAGGGTGGAATTCTAGGCAGTATTGGAGGGAACAATTCCACTTAGTCTGTAAGGTGGTATTCTAGGTGAAATTGGGAGGGGGGGGGAGGGGGGCAGTAATTTTACTAGGTCTGTAAGGTGGAATTCTGGGTGAAATTGGTGGAATTTTCCACACAGCTGCTCTGAGAGATTCAAACGGAGTATTAAAATTTGTATTATGTGAATTATGTTATCATTTAAAATATTATGTATACACTATACATATTATTATATATGTAACTCTACACTTGGTCTGTGAAAGATCACTATGGTGTGCCTGTTGCACTCAAAGAAATGAGTGCCACTTTGTCACCTATTAATTTTTTTCTTATGTCTCGGTTGTCCTGACACAATTGGATCCCAACAAAATCACGTACTAGTACTCATATTCTGTTGCTTTTGCTTTAGGTAAGAAAGTGCGTCAATATTTATAAAATATGACCCATTAATTTTCCTGCGGGAAGAGCTCAGTCGCCACATTAGACGACCAATCAGAGGCTAGCTTACATCAACCAAATTCATCTAATTTTGAAACGTGGTCCGTGATTAGCCCCGATGTCAGGTTCAAAAAATAGGTTAGCTCCGATGTTAGGTTTAAATAATGTCTTTAAAAATGACTTTTTAAAGACAACACTTCTAAAGAGGTCAGTGTCTTCAATATTACAGATGTACAATGAATTTCTAATTTTATTTTCATATATATAAAAAAATTATTTTTTCTCCAATTTTTTCTCAATAGTAAAAATAAAATAGAGAAAAAATAATTTAAATTATTTATCCTGTCAATTAGTTCAAGCATTGTCATCGACTTTACGCAAGTGTGCAAATTTCAGAGTGGTTGGATAGGTAGAAGTGTGTTAAATATAAATTGAAAGATTTGTAGGAGACCAGCAAACAAACAAACAAACAAACAAAGAAACAATATATGAAGTTAAAGAGAAGTGTTGTAATATAAATAGGTTCTAGTTTAGCTTGAATTGCAGTGCTGCAATTTTCATCTAGTGACCGTAACTCTCTCTATTTACCAGGTTTCTGCACTCAGAAAATTAATGTCGTATTGTTCAAATAGCGACCCACTTTCTTACCCTCAGCACAAGCCGAGAGAGGAAGTAGCCCTGATACATGCATAACTGGGTCAGTGTGACCCAGGGGTGTAAATGATCTTTGTTTAGACAAAGCCTTTCACATTTCTCTCGGCATAGATGGCAATAAATCCTTCCTCGTCAGGATTTTTAAGGTGGCTTATACATTAAATAAATTAATTAATCTTATAATTTCTTGAACGAACCATTTTAACCGCTCGTTAGTGCGTGTGAACCTATTATTGTTAAATTTCATTCCTCAATTGAAGCATTCAGCTCTTAAGGGCACAGTTTTATCGTTAATTTGCGCCTGTGTAACTCTTCTTGTAACATTTCATCCCATTATTCCTGTAACCTTTTATCACATTATTCTTGCAACGTTTTATCCCATTATTCTTGCAACATTTTATCTTTTTATTCTTGTAACATTTTTTTCCAATATAGGCCCATAAATCCTTGAATAATTCATCTAATTCCATAATAAGTTCCTTTGATCTTTAATTCAATTGTGCTTCGATATTTCAATTGGACCTGCTAGCTCGTAACTTCGGGACCGAAATTCATTATTTTCATCGAAATTCGATATTTTCACCCAACTCGACGAGCCATGAACGGTCAGACTGAGGTGAGTGTGGTGAATTTTTTAATATCTTTATTCCAGTATTTTAATTCCAGATGTCAAATTTTGATTGTCGCGGGTTGCACAGGCATTTAGTCTTGAATTCCGCACGGTTCACGCATTCTTCAAAATCCATAATTTCTGCAGAATCCATTAACTTTGCACAATTTTCTAATTCTGCAAAATTCTTGCATCTCCGTTCAAAATTCGCACATTTTCCCCCACAATTCATGCATTTTTTACAATTTGTGCATTTTCTACAATTCGTAAATTTTTTACAATCCGAAAATTTTCTACAATTCGTACATTTTTCCACGCAACCAGTAAATTTTCCCACATACTTCGTATGACTCCAAAATTCGTGAATTCTGCACAATTCGTAAATTCTGCACAAATTGCACATTTTTGCTCGCAGGCCGCTAACGGGCGCTCGAGCAGCCCGTGCGAGGGCAGCAGCAGCAGCGGGGGCGACGGCGACGGGCAGCTGACGTACTCGTGGCGCGACGTCAACGTCTACGTCACCAGGAAGGAGAAGACGTCCGTCAGGCTCACTAAACTCGCATGCAGGAGCAGCGAGAAACCGCAGGAGCGACGTATTCTGAATAATGGTACGTCACTGGTATGTCACTGGTAACCTACATAAGCGCCAAAAGTACATCGCTATTTGTACAAAGTCTCACGTATTTCTCTGCGTGACAGAATTCTCGAGCTTGGTGCTCTAATCTCCTTTTTTGTATAATTATTTTAATGAAACATCGTAAGCCTCAGTGACGATGAAAGTCCTCCGAAGACTTGGTCGTTGGTGCCGTTTTTTTCCAACCTGGATGGCTGAAGTCTGAAGCAAGTCAGGTTTAATGCCGGATAATTAAATGATTCTTACGTGCTGCTTAGTTCGTCGACTCAACGGGGCCGTTAGGTCGTGGTTATTAAAGTTCATTAAGGTTGAAGTTTGATTCGACATTTGCTGCCGAATTTGATATTTGCCTGATTTCTTTCAACGAAGTTTTAGGAGAGAACTATCATTATTTTCGGAATTTGAATTCTTCACAAGAACGCAATGGTATATTGTTATTCGATAACAATATTCATTCTGCACACCATGTAAAGGGCTACAAATATTCATGTCGTAATTCATTTTCACAAAGTTCGTATTTATAATGTTTATTATATACATATTTTGGCCTGAGGTTGATAGTGCTGGACTCTTAATTAATTAAGCGTATGCTCCTTTTCTATTATTGATTATTTATTGGTAAAGTTGTCCCAATATTAATGAGGACAAATTATTCAATGGGACAAGCTTGTATTGACGAGTATTGTGTGCCTGTTAATCAAAATCTAATTCAGTGCGTTTTATTATTTGATGAAGAGACATTCGAAACGTTGTTGACACATTAAAAATGTCCTTTGGAAACCAGTTTTTCGATCTACCAGCGACAAATATAACGTAACTTATTGAATAAAAACATGAATAATAATATTATTAAACGGCTCCATCTTAAAGTTTCACATCGACTTAATGCTGGAGAACAAATTCTTTTATCGGATATGTTGCATGTGTTAAAATATTAACATATTTTATTGCATTGAATCCTTGAAATTTTACACAACTAAATATCAAGCTTATACAAACTTTGCATTAAAAAGGTTTAAAGTTTTCCGATGATAATTGCTGAACTTACTTTGATCAAACCGAAAAAAATTGCTTTGTATTATTGCTTGTTAAAATTGCTTGTATTAAAAAATTGCTTGAATAAAAAATTGCTTGTATTAATTTTTTTGTATCATTGGAATAATATAATGCATATTCAACCAAATACATGAATAATGTCCAAAATTTTTTAAAAGGCAGTTGCTAAACTTAATTTTCTGTTTATCGATAAAATTAATGTTTATAATATTTTTTATTGCAGTAAACGGCGTGTGTCGCCCTGGCGAACTGCTGGCCGTGATGGGTGCGTCAGGTGCTGGAAAAACAACGTTATTGAACGTCCTAACGCACCGTAATAACGACAAGGTAATGACGTCCTAACGCACCGTAATAACGACAAGGTAATGACGTCCTAACGCACCGTAATAACGACAAGGTAATGGCGTCCTAACGCACCGTAATAACGACAGGGTAATGACGTCCTAACGCACCGTAATAACGACAAGGTAATGACGTCCTAACGCACCGTAATAACGACAAGGTAATGACGTCCTAACGCACCGTAATAACGACAAGGTAATGGCGTCCTAACGCACCGTAATAACGACAAGGTAATGGCGTCCTAACGCACCGTAATAACGACAAGGTAAAAAGCCATTTTGCTCTAATAAAGCAATAGTATTTTCGTCAATAATGCTCGCAAATATTTAAATATTACATTAGATTAGGTAATTCGTTACATTAGATTAGTTCGTTTCATTAGATTCGTTAATTTGTTACATTAGATGAGTTAATTAGTTATATTAGATTAGTTAAATAGTTACATCTGATAAGTTGATTATATATAGTTGCATTAGATTAGTTAATTATTTACATTGTATTAGGTAATTTGTTACATCAGATTAATTAGTTACATTACAATTGTTATAAATTAGACATTTGCTTCGTTCAGCTTGCATAATAATGGTGAGTATGTTGAAATATCTTATTGCTGTGTATGTATGCTCTTAATACTTTATAGTGTACTGCTACTACATTAATACGCATAAATAAACTCTATGCCCAATATTTTATTTATACTAATATATTAATACTCTATTGATATGCATCAAAACCTATTAATAAAATTTATGCCTTTTTCGCATTTAGGTGCGCGCGACCAGCATGTCAATGGTGTATGGTGAGCATCAATAGTGTATATTGATGCCCAATAAAAAAGATTATTAATGTTAGGTTAATATTCTATTAATACTCTTTAAAATGAATTAATACATTGATGCGTATTGCCCCTTTAGGTGCGCGTGACAGGCGACCTGCACGTCAACGGTCGCCCTGTACACCCCGACAGCCTGACGAGCCTATCGGCCTACGTGCAACAAGACGACCTCTTCATAGGCCTACTAACTGTACGAGAACAGCTTATATTCCAAGCCATGTTGCGCATGGACCGCGACATTACCCTCGAACAGAGGGTAATGAGGGTAGAAGAGGTTATCATGGAGCTCGGACTCACAAAATGTGCCTTCACAAAAATAGGAGTTCCTGGCAGGATTAAAGGAATCTCAGGAGGGGAAATGAAGAGGTTAGCATTCGCTTGTGAGGTACTCACGAACCCACCATTGATGTTTTGTGATGAACCCACCAGTGGGTTGGACTCATTCATGGCCCAGGCTGTGGTGGGTGTGATGAAGATGATGGCAGAGCGTGGCAAGACCATCATTGCTACCATTCATCAGCCCAGCTCTGAGGTGTACGCCATGTTTGACCGCGTCCTGCTCATGGCTGAAGGACGCGTCGCGTTCCTGGGGGATGCTGATGCTGCTTATCTCTTCTTCAGCCGGTGAGTGGCCATCAGATGAGTGACCATCAGTGGTGGAATGAGTGGCCATCATGAGTGGTGTGAGTGGCCATCATGAGTGGTGTGAGTAGCCATCAGATGAGTGGCCATCAGATGTGAGTGGCCGTCAGATGTGAGTGGCCATCAGATGAGTGGCCATCAGATGAGTGGCCATCAGATGAGTGGCCATCAGATGAGTGGCCATCAGATGAGTGGCCATCAGCTTATCACTAGTGAGTGGACATCAGTTTAGCAGTTGTGAGTGGTTATCAGGTGTGAGTGACCCTCAGTGGTGTGAGTGGCCATCAGAAATGGTGTGAGTGGCCATCAGTGGTGTGAGTGGCCATCAGAAATGGTGTGAGTGGCCATCAGTGGTGTGAGTGGCCATCAGAAATGGTGTGAGTGGCCATCAGTGGTGTGAGTGGCCATCAGAAATGGTGTGAGTGGCCATCAGTGGTGTGAGTGGCCATCAGAAATGGTGTGAGTGGCCATCAGTGGTGTGAGTGGCCATCAGAAATGGTGTGAGTGNCATGAGGACAGGTGTGAGTGTGACCATCAGAAGTGGTGTGAGTGTGGCCATCAGAAGTGGTGTGAGTGTGGCCATGAGGAGTGGTGTGAGTGTGACCATCAGATGTGAGTGGCCAATCAGCTTATCATGTATTACAACTACTTCATTAGTATAATTATTTTATTATATATTACATTGTATCTGAATTTTATCATCAGTTTTAGTATAATGATGTACATAGGAATTATATCATTAGTATCAGTACAATGTGATGCATTACTACTGCATCATTATTGTTTTATCAGTATTAGTAAAATGGTATACATTGGTATAGTATCCCTTTCATCATCATCATTGCAGTAATGATGCCTTACTATCACCCCCCAGGGTGGGGTTGCCCTGTCCCCCCAACTACAACCCCGCTGACTTCTTCATCTCAACTCTGGCCATCCAACCCGGGAAGGACGAAGCCTGTCGTGCGGCCATTGCCACGCTGTGCGACGAGTTCGCTTCTTCCCATGATGGACAGATGGTGGCCCAGGCCATTGAGGACAACATGGTCGCTGACGAGGTGAGGCCATCGAGGACAACATGGCCGCTGACGAGGTGAGGGCCTGCGGTGATAAAGGCGCGACAGCGCCATTATCAGTGATGGTCAAACCCAGAGCGTCCTCCGTCTTGACGATCTTGACTTCCTTGTCAATTCCTGGGTACGTGACAAGGAGAGGATACATGTTAGAGGCCAGCATTTGCCAAAACCTTCGTTACTTTCTTATTCCTTTCCGCGCGCACACATGCTACTAGGCACACAAGCCTATGAAGTTAAGCGCTTATGACCATAGGCGCCGTATGTCCGCAGCCACTGCCTCAGCAGGAATAGTTCTCACGGAGCCTGCAGTCCAGTGTGCCAATACCTCCACACTTACCCCGACTCTCCACCCAAACAAACCTTCCCGGACCTAACCTAACCTCATTGGCTGCTGCAAGGTGGGGAGCAGGGTGCAAGAGGGGGGGGGGACTGGGGCCGATCATTGGCTGCCGCAAAGAGGAGAGGCGAGGTAAGTGCAGAGGTAAGGCAATGTTGGGATTGTAACCCATGAAGACTATATTGGCTGGTGCTGTTGCTGCGGGCTTACGCGCGGTGCCTATGGCTTTAAAGACCGGGTTCTCACCATGCAGCTGGGTACGTGTCGTGCATATGCCGGTCATGGTCCAGTCCAATATCTTTTAATGCATTTCTAAATAAGCATTCACATCAGCCCTTGCAATGTGTGATGGCATCTATAAAAATGCAATGAAGTGTATTGGACTGGACCGTGGCTGGCATAAGCCGGCCACGGTATGTGCCCGGCGGTATGGTGTGAACCCGGCCTAAGACGCGCGGAACTGGTATTGCTTGCGATTATTATTAAATAAAAAATCAAATTAAATTGAAATTATCAACTCTGAAGCCACGTTTTGCTGTGCATATGTATGCAAAGCGTTGGTTATATGACTAGTTTAATAGTTGAATTTGTGGCCAACCGCTGCTCTCTCTCACCCACCACCCAACTTGTCCTAACGCAACAAGAACCCTCCCCACCTTCATGTCCCCCAGTCTGGGTTCCCGTACTCACCCCTGGAGGAGGCGCGGGTGAGGCGCTCCCCCTACAGGGCGCGCTGGTTGACCCAGTTTAGGTGGGTCATGTGGAGGTCATGGCTTGAGGTCACCAGGGAACCCACGCTCATCAAAGTCCGCTTCTTCCAAGTCTTCGTAAGTAAATAACTAATTTTATTATATTGTGAGATATGAAAAGGGGCACCATAATAACCACTTTGACTCCGATAGCTTCATTTTGTACTATTATTTCACTTTTTTTTACTGTTTTAAACAGGGTTGCCAGACAGTCATTTTTCCTGACAAATTCCGTGATTTAGTTATTCTCAATTGCGTTGGCCGACTAAAATTTATGATAGGGGTACTTCCTAATTCAATTTTAAATACTGCAAAAAGAAAATAAATGGAATTTTTATAGCGGAACCTACAAATAAACTAGTATATATTGAGTTATCGGCCTTTTTCGGCCTTTTTAGTTCTCGGATTTGGTCGATTTTAGGCAACCTGAATTATGTAATACTACGTCCGGGAGAAATACATTTTGTGGTACGCGTATGTACCACTTCGGAGTCAACGTGTTTAGAGAGCACTGCGGGTTAAGATAAAACACATAACTAATGAAATTCTTGTGTAAATTTCTCTGGAATTAAAGGTGTGTTTTGTGGCTAAAAAAACATATATAAATATTGAAAGTTAATTATAAATTTAGCTAGCGACTCATCATAATTATAAACGTACTTTTTAAGGTAAAGAAACCTCATTGAAAAAGACATTTATCTAAATTGTGTGTCTGCTACTCTTATCATCGTGCCTAAATTTGGAGGGTATAATGTGGGTTGAGATAACTACTCAATATTGATCGTGAGTAACTAATTATATATTAAATGTATTTTTTGTTAAGATAATGATACATTATTGATTAAGGTCTTCAAATATTTAGGAGAAACTTAAACAAACTTACGTTATCGCGTGCCCGTTAAAACTGCTATTTACCTACCTATCTCATTTAATTCGTCACTTTCGCCAAAATCTCACCCGTGCTGTGACTGTGCCACAGAAACTAGATAAAAATGTATTTGTTTAATGAAAATAAAATTTGGAACTTTTAAACATAAAATTACCATTGAAAATCATATAAAGTTTTCTGTAGTCTAAATCGAACGGACTTTGGCTGAAATGATATGTAGGAAATGATCATCGGATGATAGGCTCAGGTGGCAGACGTGGCGGACGAAAATGATGGATTTATCCGTCTCACTGGGATTGATGGTCGAGATTTGCCGGGACTAGAAAATTTCTGCTCACCGTATTTTTGTGTTCAATTTCAATACATACTGAATAGAAATTTATTGAGGGCGCTTCATTGTTGTTCTTATTGAATTATTTCGTAGCGAATATACTTTATATGTATCCTTATCGCCTGGGGCGTGCATGAAATGCACAATGCACCCATAGTCGAATTAGTTAATATCTTGAGTAAAGTGTTTTATCGTCGTGTCCTGTGTTCGCAATAAATTATGTTACTTAATAGGCGTAATTTAAGTGCAATATACATTTTACGATACCGTTTATATCATTCCATATTGTTTGCTTTACATAAAACGATTTTAATAAGAGTGAACGACGAAAAATCGTGTATTCAAAGTCCACGAATATCAGCGACAGTCTTCAGTAACAGTTAATATTGGTTGATATTTTATAATTGGAGACACGAATATCATCGTCATCATTGGTATATCATCGTCATTAAGGCCACTGATTTTATCGTAATTATGGCACTGATATCTTCATTAATTACACTGATATGACTATAGTTGTACAGCAGCCGTGCTGCTGGGTATCATCTACCCTGATATCACTATCATTGCGTAGCTGATAGCCGTGCTGCTGGTATCATCTACCCTGATATCACTATCATTGTACAGCTGATAGCCGTGCTGCTGGGTATCATCTACCCTGATATCACTATCATTGCGTAGCTGATAGCCGTGCTGCTGGGTATCATCTACTTCCAACAAACACCATCACAGGACAGCGTCACTAACATCAACGGCGCCATCTTTCTGCTCCTCACCAACATGACCTTCCAGAACGTCTTCGGCGTCATCAACGTAAGATGATATTTATTAATGATACATATTAATGATGTATGCCATGATATTTTATAATGATACATGTAATGTTATATATTAATGACATATATTGATTGAATATGTAATATGTTATGATATATAATGATTGATGTTCATTAATGCAGATTTATTAATGGAAGCTGACAGACTTTCTGCGTGCTGACAGACTTTCTGCGTGCTGACAGACTTTCTGCGTGCTGACAGACTTTCTGCGTGCTGACGGACTTTCTGCGTGCTGACAGACTTTCTGCGTGCTGACAGACTTTCTGCGTGCAAGTACCGGTGTTCCTGCGTGAACATCTCAACGGAATGTATCGCACGGATGTTTATTTCCTGGCCAAGACTCTGGCCGAACTTCCCTTCTACATCGCCTTGCCCTTCATGTTCTCCATCATCGCCTACTACATGGTCGGCTTCGGGGGCAACATCGTCAACTTCTTCACATGTGCCGCCATCGTCGTGCTGGTTGCCAACATCTCAACATCGTTCGGTAAGCGATAATACGTGTTGACAACATTAATACATCATACCGCAAGGAGTCAGTTCGTCAGAACTGTCGCCGATTCTGATAATTGCAGAATTTTCACAGTTTGCTGCAGGTCTTGAAAACTCAACTCACTGCTCCAATATCCACTACCGCCCGGCCACCTTCGCGATTTAAACCAAAACTTTCCACAGTTAGCTGCTGGTGTCGAACTCACAACTCACTGCACTGGTCCAATTTTGGTTCTCTAAACTTAACCAGTATATTATCTGGCTGGCATGGGCTGTTTCTTTCCGGGTTTCGAGATATAGGTGGTTTATTGGAGGTTCATTGGTGGCCGATGGGTGGCCAGCGGTGACAGTACGACTATAATTTTAATGTATTATTCGCCATTCCAAAGCTCTGCGCTCTCAAAGCCTACACTCAGGAAACTTAATGAGCTATATCCTTCAAATAATGACACGTTGTCTTACCCACAGTGCGAGCAAGAAAGCAGACGTAGCAATTGAGCCCTTTTGCTGGGCTAAACTGGGTCAGGATGACCCACACTAGGGCTAATAGTAAATCGCTATTTGAACAAAGCCTCACATTTCTTTCAGTGTTTATTAAATATTATTGATGACAATACTGTTCATTGTGGTGAGAAATGCGCCTGTCACGCAGGTTACATGATCTCGTGCGTGTCACGCAACCTCAACATGGCGCTGGCCCTGGCGGTTCCCCTCGTCATTCCCCTCATGCTTTTCGGTGGCTTCTTCCTCAACAACGGGTGAGTGCTGAAGCAATTAAAGTATATAATATACAAGGCTATTCTACATGATGGACCCAATTTAATAAATTTATATTTATTTAAGTATTAATTCAAAATGAATAATTTATACACCAATAAAAAGAGAAATTTTCCATTTTTTTTAAACTATGAAAACGCGGAATCGGGCGGCGGCGGCGGCGGCGGTAGTCGCAGAAACGGCCGCTAGAGTTTTGCACCAACCAGCCTCTACACTTCTTGCCATCGAGATCACCTGATCTCACGTGACTTTTTCTTATGGGGTTACGTTAAGGAAGCTGTTTATGTCCCGCCTCTACCAGCAACTCTGTTTACGTCCCGCCTCTACCAGCAACTCTGTTTACGTCCCGCCTCTACCAGCAACTCTGTTTACGTCCCGCCTCTACCAGCGACTCTGTTTACGTCCCGCCTCTACCAGCAACTCTGTTTACGTCCCGCCTCTACCAGCAACTCTGTTTACGTCCCGCCTCTACCAGCAATTCATTGTACAGCTGATAGCCGTGCTGCTGGGTATCATCTACCCTGATATCACTATCATTGTGCAGCTGATAGCCGTGCTGCTGGGTATCATCTACTTCCAACAAACACCATCACAGGACAGCGTCACTAACATCAACGGCGCCATCTTTCTGCTCCTCACCAACATGACCTTCCAGAACGTCTTCGGCGTCATCAACGTAAGATGATATTTATTAATGATACATATTAATGATGTATGCCATGATATTTTATAATGATACATGTAATGTTATATATTAATGACATATATTGATTGAATATGTAATATGTTATGATATATAATGATTGATGTTCATTAATGCAGATTTATTAATGGAAGATGACAGACTTTCTGCGTGCTGACAGACTTTCTGCGTGCTGACAGACTTTCTGTTTACCTGTCTCTTATACACATCTAGATGTGTATAAGAGACAGACCAGCAACTCTGTTTACGTCCCGTCTCTACCAGCAACTCTGTTTACGTCCCGTCTCTACCAGCAACTCTGGTTGATCTGAAGAACTCTATCACTGCTACGGTGCACTCAGTAACAGAAGATATGCTTTCTCGTGTGCGACGAGAGTGGCTACCGTTTAGATGTTCGCCGTGCAGCATCAGGAGGATATATTGAATATTTATAAATATGTAAAAAATCTTCAAATATTCCTATTTCCATTAATACATACATGATTCATTTTGAAATTACATTTAAATATATACAAAATTATTAGATTGGGTCCATAATTTGAATAATCCTCTATATTATATATTAGTTGATGCCGATTTATATAATAATTTATTATAATATAATATTTCTATATTCGAATTATATGTATATAATTCTAATAAAAATAAAATACAAAACGTAATGATAAGTGTCGGGGTATGGATGCTGTGTAATCTATTACATTATTAATTGTTGTGTTTATTGTATTTCATTACACCGGCAGCTCGACGCCTGATTGGCAGGCGTGGGTGAGATGCGCTCTTTTATCTTTTGTTCCCTTGGCAGCTCGACGCCTGATTGGCAGGCGTGGGTGAGGTGCGCTCTTTTATCTTTTGTTTCCTTGACAGCTCGACGCCTGATTGGCTGGCGTGGGTGCGGTGCGCTCTTTTATCTTTTGTTCCCTTGACAGCTCGACGCCTGATTGGCTGGCGCGGGTGCGGTGCGCTCTTTTATCTTTTGTTCCCTCGGCAGCTCGACGCCTGATTGGCTGGCGTGGGTGCGGTACGCCTCTTGGTTCAGCTACGGGAATGAAGCGCTCTTAATCAATCAGTGGCGGTCGGTGGAATCAATTCCTGCTTCTGGGAATCGTACGAGATTCCCGAACGGCGAGGCGGTGCTGCGATTCCTGAATTACCAGGATGGCAGCATCGGCGTGGACGTGTGTTGCCTTTGTCTGTTACTGATCCTATACAGGACTCTGGCCTTCCTAGGCCTCCTGTCGAAAACTTTTCGACGATAAAAGCGATAAAAATCACGGCAAAGTGCATTTACTTTCCTGCCACATGTGCTTACTTTCTGCCGATGACATGGAGCAAAATTCCTATCAAATGTTCTTACGTTAAAGCTATAGGTATACTTTCCAACCACATCTTACTGTCCAGTGCTACGTGTACTTACTTTCTCTCACATCCAAGTACTTTCCTTTGACATCTACTTACTTTCCAGCTAGATTTTCCTGCCACATGTACCTACTTTCGTGTCACAGGTTTTTCTTTCCTGTTACATGTATTTACATTCCTGCCTTGTTTTTGAAATATAGTTTTACAGCGTTTTCAATTAAAATTATTAGTTCTCCCAAACATAGAAATTAATACATTTTAAAACGACAAAAGTGTTGTTACATTTCTACGAGTGTTAGTACAGCCGATTTAGAAATATAAATATAAATATAAACAAATATATTTTTAATATATTTTAATAAAATATATTAAAAATTTAAATTTAATTTTGAAATTTCCCGAAACCCAGAAATACAATCACTTTGCAACGGCAAAAATGCTGCTAAAATTTCACGAGTGTCGGTTCAGCAGTAAGTGAAATAAAAATAGTGTTAATAACTTTTTGAATTAAAATTTGAAATTTTCCCAAACCTAAAAATCTCATTTACTTTGAAACGGCCAAAATAATGTTAAAATTGCACGATTGTCAGTTAAGCCGTCTCTGAAATAGAAATAGTAGGGTAACATGGGGCAGCGCCCCCCCCATTTTTTTTAACTAAATTTTTGACGAAGTTTTAATTGATACTAGGTGGTTCTTTGTATTGTTTAAAGGTACAACTAATGAGGAATGTATGATGTTAATTAGACGCCTATAGAGTTATTCAATTTTTATGAAACGCTATTTTGTAAAAAGTGTCAAAATGGGCCCATTGCCCCACCCTTGGGGCAATAGGCTCACGCGCGGGCTTGGGGCAAGGCGCCCACCCTTGGTCCCTTTACCACAATTGCATATTTTTCGTTTAAAAATGATAAAACAACACTTTACAGTTAAAAATAAGAAAAATGCAATATAAAATATGGCGTTCATTCATTTATTAACAACTCAAAAAATCATATCCTTAACTTGAAAAAATATATTCTTGGCTTGAAAAATCTATCACTGACGTGAAGAAAAATATTTCATCGACATAAAAATATATATCCTTGACTTGAAAAATATATCTTTTCGATAAAAAATTCGTCCTTGACATGAAAAAATGTATCCATAACCAGAAAAAATATATTTAGTTGATCAGAAAAAAACTTTGTTCGAGTTTCGTCCATAATCCTGATATATATTTTTTAAAAGGCCTCCCACACTCACCATTCCAACAAAAAGGGAATTAATTTTATTAATTAAAAACTGGGAATGGTTTCATGTCAATGATCAGGGCCCCGACGTTAACGCCTCTGATGGTGGCCTACACCGACTCCGAGGGTCACTGAGCTGTGACGCGAGCGAGGAGCGTCACAGCCAACCTTTGCTCCAACCATAGAGTCTCTCTACGTTCGCCGGACAATTCCGTAATGCGAAGGCCAATCTGTGATATTAAAGGACCAGTCGTTTTCGAACCCAGCAGAAATAGCCGAATTATTGACGTGCGACTCAGCAAAAGTGTCGACGCAGGTTGCATCCCAGCACAAACACATCCCATTAGAAAATGGGAGAACCGTTAAGCCATCTGGTCTCTTACCATCCCCTCCGTCCACTCCAACGGGTTCAAGGCATGAAGGAACGCCAGCGTTCTGGAGAGCCCTCCTGATAACATCGTTCAGAGCCGAGTGTCTTGGATGTCGCGCAGCGCTGTACTTACAAGAAAGGCCATGCAGCCCTCGTGCATCCATCCGCTTTCCGCACCGACAAGTGTGGGGTTCGCATACATTTGCGCCAACTCGAAGAGCAATTGAGACGCGGAAGGAGTCGGGATCTAGAAGTGTTCCAAGAGCATCGGAAGGAATAGCGTGAAGCCACAAGCCACTCTCTCTCTTCGCCGCTGCAAGTAGACGAGCCCTGGATATTTGGTCCGCCGCTTCCAAAAGCCGCGCTGCGGAGGCCGCGGACACAGGCCCATCCCAAGTCCTCTGCCGGTTAATGAAAGTGTTGTGGGAGAGGTGCAACATACTCTGCTACCCCAACGGAATAGTAGAATTATTAACTCAATTGGGAAGAAGATCAGTGAATGTTGGTAAAGTCAGAGTTATAAGCGTTTGTTACGAAAGCTTCAAAAATGCTCTGAACTGCGAGCTTCAAAACTCTATCCAGACAGTTAAAACTACACTACTCTTGACCTCCATTCGGTAATACCTATTGCACAATATATACATTTTTACTAGTACACAAAACCTTAACCTAGAATCAAACATGAAAAGTTCTCATTCTAACCCCTAGGCAACGCTAACATGCTAATACAAAAACCTATTCTAATCCATCACTGAAGCCGCCGTCTGCAGGTAGTTGTCAGTGAACATCCACCATCCGAACCATTTGGTTGTGCAATATTCGTTCATAAACGTAAGACAACGCTGGCCGCAGTGGCGAACGTCAACGGTAAAAGTACATATATAGGTCGCAGTTAAACTATACGATAGGAAAATTCATCACACAAGATACGTCATATGTCCCGAACTAGCTCAGACAACCTGGCTTAATATCAGTACAAACTAAGTAATTCATCAGTGAACGACGACACCTCTGGTGGGTTGAAGGGCTTATTCTTCGGAAACTCCACACAATTAGGCAAACAGCGTTTTTCTAGAGTAAACGTCTCTGCCCAACCGTCTAGCTACGGGACCCGATTTTTACAGGCAAAGACAATAACAGTATAGTTCGAAGTGAATGCAGAACTAATATTCACAGTTCACATAATTCACATAATACATTCGGCCAGTTCAAAATACAGGTACATTTTACCCTTGCACAGAAAATCACATCGTAGACGATGAATGATGGCGTCGGTGGTAGACCCAGTTGGGCACGTTCCATGGTCTTCACCCAACGGCTATCGAACTCTTACAATTCTCCCGTTCCCGCCTGTGACGGCCTGTGGGCTCTTTATTCTACTACCGGCTTGGCTGCTCATCGCTGATCCCTGGGTTGGTTACTAAACCGTATCCACCTACGATCATGGGCGGGTGCGGCTACCTGGAGGATACTCTAGAGAACCAGCCTAAACGATGAACCTTTTTATCGACCCCGTACTTCGCCTGGACTTTGGCTTCATGAGTAATTATGACTTTCTGATATGTGACCGGAACGCCGTATCCATGGAATCCAGTTCCGCTGCGTTCGCTGCTGACTGTATCATTTCTCGTAACCAAATGTTCGGGCACGACCGCAAGCAGTCACGCCCGCCGTGGTAGGCGGCTAAATCAAGAGTGAGCCGCACCCGGCTCATGTCCAATTTCATCTCCTAGAAGGCGTCGGAAAGAAAAGAAGAGCGAGACCGTCAGTCAGAAAGTCGAGCAGCTACAAAAGGAGTCAGAAACAATTTCATCATTCCAATTGTATTTACTTAAAAGAAATAATTCATCATTCTAAATGATGGAAAAATAGTCTTTAAGTGCGAAAGCTTTTGTGAATAAAATGTCTAGACATAGCTGCCATCAGAAATTCCCAACGGAATGGTATGTCAACATCGCCTTTGCAGACTTTTACGTAACCCTGATACATCGTCATGTGTGAAATATTGTGATGTGTCCCCTTGAAGCCATTCATATTTTATTAATGTTTGTTGTTTGTCTATATAATTGATCTTGAAAGTTGCAAAAAAAATGATAACTGATAATTGAAAAAAAACTTTCTCCGGCGCCTGTATTTTTTATGCAATTGGTTTGTGCGATATGGACTTATGGTGATTGATTTGCGATATTAATTTCTATAGCTTGATGGTTCTACAATCTCTTGGTAGCATAAGTGGTAGGGTTAGTATTTAGTAGGAACATTGTGATTGATCCAGCATGTAATGATTAATGATTACTCGAATGTTATGATTAATCTAGCTTGTCTTTAAAACTTGTAGCTTCTTAGAAGTCTAATTCAATCAAACTTTGGTTAGTTAATAAACTTTGGTTAGTGGCCTGTGGCAGAGTGGAGTTCTAAGAATGGAAGTTCACTTTTAAAAGGGCTTTCCGAATGAAATTCATGTGCGCGTAACTTCGGCTAATAATTTCGCATATGCGCCGTAATAAAAGAATAATTGTTGTATAAAGTTCTCTAACCTTCACAAGTTCACAGTTATCTGTCCAAACTCAATAAATAAATAAAAGAGTATCAAATGTACTCTTAGTTTTATTTATTGGAAAACTAAGTCTGTTGAAAATGGTCCATCTTCCGAAGCCTCCAGTTATATAGTTTACCATGATAAGTTTCGAATTTTCTATTTCCTATCTGGCAAGAAAATAGTTATTATAGCTAGGTCTATGCCATTAGTCGCATAGTCGATTGCGTTCCATAATTTCGAAAAGTGATTATTTGTTTAAATTGAAATTGGATTATTCCGAAAAATAAACTTACGAGGACGCAAACTAATGCACTTGCTTCAAGTAATTACTCTTGAAAATTATTGTACTTCGTTAAATTAGTGATATCTATAGTTGTACAGAGCATTTTTAGATTGAAATAAAATGTTCAAAATTCGTAGCGACTGTTAAAATGCAATTTGACCGTTAAAAATTTGAACGTGAGCGGGTGTAAAAACAGCAAGAATGAAAAAGTAAATGGCAGGTCGAAGTAAATAGTGGGCGAAGCTCCTGCAAACTTTATAATAACAAAAAATTTTCTGTGATGTTTAAAATCGACAAAAGGCCCAAACTAAGCTGACATACCTATTGTAATTGCATAACATTGGAGTGCTGTACCCTTCCTGTACTAACTTGTATGACAAGATCGGAATAAAATATTCCATAGAAACGTCTCGCTCGGAAAATAGCTTCAATTAACACAGGCTCGTAAAGTGTGGGCGTTTATGACAATCAAACGTTAACAGAATCAGATCATCTCAATAACTATTCGAGAATAAATCTATCTACCGATTCTTATCAACAAATGAACTGTTTTCGCAACCAGGCAATAAGTCCAGCAGCTATCTCAATCAATCGTCAGTTATGGAAATATCAGGTTCCAAAGGCCGGATTCCAAGTCCCGAAATCAAGTCCCGAAAAATTCAAGAATTGGCAACAGGCCATGGGCCTATTTCTTCAGAGCCGACACTTCTATTCTATTCTATTCTATTCTAAGGGGAAAATTTAAAATTATTTCCATGGTTATGTGAAATTTAATATAGCACAATTATAA